ACCAAAGGAATTTTATAATTATTTATATAATTATATTTTAATGTAATATTATATATATATTATAATATAATATCATGCATTAGATTGGATTGCAGATATGTGTAGTTCTTAGCTTGCCATTACTTTCCATCTCACATTAACCAAATACTTTTAACATTTTCAAATGATTCTAATAAAACATTTTTAAAATAAAATTCTAGAAGAACAGATTTTAGAAAACGATGCCAATTACCAAGTCTCACCAACGAGGAGACTACGCATCGAGAACCCACCTAAAACTAAAAAATAAAATCAATAATTAATGCAAATAAATTAAAAAAATATAAAAAAATATATCAAATGAATTAAAAATAACAATTAATTAATTTTATAAAAGTTAAATAAATATGAGAAATTTTAAATGTAAATATTAAATATAATAAATTAAACAATAAATAAACAATAAATAATAATAAATAATATAAATGCTAAAAACAAAAAAAGATACATTCATTATAAATATCTGAAACAAAATAATTATCTAAATTAAAATACAATGGATCTTTACAATCTTTCCTTCATTTTTTAACATAATTTATCATTAATTTTTTCGTCCAACGATGAGATCTTCTTAAACTAACTTAATCTAAATCTTAACACTACTTAAATCTAACTTATTCTAGATCTTAAATCGATCATACTCTCCCTACTGGCAGTATCTGTACAAAGATTTAGAAATTTCAAAATGCAGACAAAGAAAAAAAATCGAAAAACAATTGGAAGCTTATAATTAGAGAAATTATAAGAAATTACAAAAAATCGAGAGGAAATCAACCCTCACCTTGTCATTGCCCTCATCGTCGCGAGATTAACTCAGTAGACTTACGAAAGTTGTCAGACCAGTGATAGTCGCCAGTCGTGGTCAGTCGAGGGTTGCGACAACGAGAAGTTCTCTGGCAAAGAGAAGAGACGACACTGGAAGGAACAAAGGATAAGGATTTCCAAGGGTCGAAACCAAATGACTCTTGCAACTGTTGCATGATACGTGTGAGAGAACATAGTATATAAAATGAGGATAAATTTAGGAAGAGAAACGAATAAGAACAGAAATTGAAAAATAAACGAAAAGGAAGGAAGTAAAAAAATTGAAAATTTATACTTTTCGCTTTTTAAGTATTGTGGAGATTGTATCTTGATAGGGAATACGCTTACAATAAGTTGCAATATTAATTCGTTAACTAATTAACATCTGTGACAAGGATATTCTCGTTTTATTTGGAAAGAAAAGAGATGTTACTTAAATTTTGTTTAAATTTTGTTTAAAAAGAATTGAGAAATAAGAAGGAATTTGACGAGAATATCCTTGTATTATTTTTATTAATATCTGCAATCTAGTCTATCGATGATTAATTAATAATTAAATAATTAATTAATAAAGAGGATTATGTTTTAGACTAGATTGCAGATGTGCGTAGTTCTTGGCTCGCCATCGCTTTTCGAAAACTAAATTTAAAATATTTGTAAGATATTTTTCAAATTAAACAAA